TACAGATCTACATTTCTCAATATATACCATTGGGAAATAAATACAAAGGTCACTCAAAAAATGTAAAAAAAAAAAAAAAAAATGGCATTCAAAATATTTAAAATTAAAGGGGTTGATTGCATCGTACAACAAATAGAAGCATGCTAATAGGGCGATTAGATGGCCTAAACTTGAAAATGAAAAGCTCATAGCCAAAGAGTGCAATACCAACCCCCAAAAAGCTCAAGAGTTAAAGTGTTGGTCCATTGGAAAGTGAGATGGGTGAGTTAATGAAGGATTGGTACGGATCATATACTCTAATTATTTTTCCTCAGTATATAGTGAAGAAGGAACTATGGCTGTAGATTAGCAAATCCCTGTTACAAAAGCCTTACAGCAAACGTGATTGGTTAACGCAAGATAAAGTTCTTCGTAAATGAAAGGGACACTATAGTCACCTAAATTACTTTAGCTAAATAAAGCAGTTTTAGTGTATAGATTATTCCCCTGCAATTTCACTGCTCAATTCACTGTCATTTAGGAGTTAAATCACTTTGTTTCTGTTTTTGCAGCCCTAGCCACATCTCCCCTGGCTATGATTGACAGAGCCTGCATGAAAAAAAAAAAAAACTGGTTTCACTTTCAAACAGATGTAATTTACCTTAAATAATTGTTTCTCAATCTCTAAATTGAACTTTAAATTACATACAGGAGGCTCTTGCAGGGTCTAGCAAGCTATTAACATAGCAGGGGATAAGACAATCTTAATTAAACAGAACTTGCAATAAAGAAAGCCTAAATAGGGCTCTCTTTACAGGAAGTGTTTATGGAAGGCTGTGCAAGTCACATGCAGGGAGGTGTGACTAGGGTTCATAAACAAAGGGATTTAACTCCTAAATGGCAGAGGATTGAGCAGTGAGGCTGCAGGGGCATGTTCTATACACCAAAACTGCTTCATTAAGCTAAAGTTGTTCAGGTGACTATAGTGTCCCTTTAAATAAAGTAATGTAAACAGGTTGTTGATCCAAAGAGAAATTTGGAGTCAAGAACGATTTTTTAAAACTTTTTGGTGGTATAATTGGAAATTGCTACAATGGCATAAAAGAATGGGCTTTAGGGTTGAACTTGATGGACTTTAGTCTTTTTTCATCCAACACAATTATGTACCCATTTGCTCTGGCCCTCTACTTCGTTAGTTGGTCCAAGGCTTTACTCAGGACTTTGCACTCCATTTTCTGACCCAGGGAGTTAGTGATAGGCTGAGAGCACCAGCTGTTGCTCTTTTACTATTAACACAACACAGTGAAAAGCTTCCTGATCAAGAAAGGAGAGTGGCAGAGTGAACAGGCATGGTATCATCAACGGCTTGACCCCACTTAAGACGGTGATGGGTCCTCCTCGCACCAATACAACTTCATTGCAATTATCCTTTAATACTGAATAAACCCCATTGTAGTGAATACATTCTCAAATGATTTTTGTGAAAATGATACAGACCTGTCTAGTAGAAGATGGACCTGATGGTACATATTGTACAGGGAAAAAAGCTGCATACTGGAGATGGGTAATTGAATGGATCCATACAATTTAGCAAGAAGACATTTTGTTACACCAATGTGGTTCAAGCAATATATAAAAAAACACACACCACACTTTTCAGCTTCTTTTATGGTAGGAACACTCTGGCTGAAAGGTTATCAAAGACAGGATTCTTTTTGATAATCAGAACATATATTAGATGTTAGCATTCTGTCACTTAAGATATTTATTCTGTGCCTCTTGTTACAGAATCCTTGTGCGGTATATGGTAGAAGATAATTGCACGATGAACAGGACAGAAACAAGAGAGTCGTGAATATGCAGAGAGCATAATTGAACATTTGAAAACATGTCCAAAAATATTAAACATCTTAGTCATATAAAATTTTGCTGAGCTCCTGGTCAATGAACATGGCCCTCTATTGGACCTGATTAACTAACTGAAGACATCTAATGCAGAAGACGTGGATAAGGCATAGGGAACTAGGAAACCCAGCTAAGGTGTCAAACTGTGCTATAAATTATACTGAGACAGCTCCAATGTACTTCTGGCACCACAACCACTTTCAGAAGTCTTTAAAATAATCATGTCCTTACTGCCTAAACACGGGACACACACACACTATATATATATATATATATATATATATATATATATTATATATTAACCTCTTAAGGACCAGTTATATGCAATTCAGTTAACACAATTTGTTTCTATTTCAGATAATTTGTCCCCCTCCCCCAAAGTAAGACGTCACTCCTTTTTCTTACAATTTGATTTCCAGCATTAGCAGATCTTGCTGTAGTGGTTATGGTGTTTGGAGTTATCCTTTATATGAGTGGCATTCATTTTATGTAGGATTCTTAAAATGTTTAATTTTTATGACAAAATTATTCTCTCATTAACAGATTAAAACTTTTGGCATTTGTCAGACATATGGGTATACATAAATATTGATTGATTCTTTAAATATACAGTGTTGATAATGGGTAAAAAAAAAAAATATCACAGCTGGAACCACCAAAAATACATTTAAGTCTGTACATTATTTTGTCTAATGGCCAGGATTATTAAACCCATAAGTGCAATAAAGATGATTGGTTTTATTTAAAACTATCAACTTGTCTAGCCCATTGGCAAGTGGCTGCCTTTTTGTTCTGTTTGCCCTGGGATGACTGGTGGCTATCCACAACTACAGCAGGAATGAAAAAATATATATAGGACAGAATTTGTTTGCCCTTTAATTGGAAATGAACTATCCATTACTACAAGTATCCCGTTTGTAAGCCATAATTGAACAGATATTCTGTTGACATTTGACTGACAAGGAACATCTATAGTTCTAGCTGTGATTGTTCTGTAATTTAAAGCCTGGGAACACAGAGTCAGGCTTCTAGAATGCATGGCCAAATCTTCAGGCCTGAATAACATCCTCAAACAATGGCATTTTTTTAAATAATAATAATAATAATAATAATAATAATAATAATAATAATAATAATAATAATAAATCTTATTATATGTTGGACTTGACGTTGAAAATTGAATATTGCTTAGTTTGGTTTGGTATACATGGTTTAATAGACAAGTGCCAATGATCACAACGGAATGACTATTGTCAGTATGTATGTAATGTCAGCCAAAAAAAAGGAATTGATAACAATACTTGTAATACTTAATACTTGTTGGATCATCATCAAACTTTATGGAAATTTGTGCTTTCCATATAAACACTACTAAACCGGAAAAGTTGGATCCTTCTTCATAGTCATACCATTATTTTGGATTTCACTCAATTTAACCCCTTAAGGACACATGACGGAAATATTCCGTCATGATTCCCTTTTATTCTAGAAGTTGTGTCCTTGTTAATATGGTGTGTTTCATCACCCAAATATATTAAAAGCTATTTCACGGTCTGCTGAACCCAGTGACTGTCTCAAACAAGGTTACAATTTTGATGTTAACGTGAGCAGGGCCCTTGTCACATTTTGAATTCATATTCCAAAATGTGTCATTTTTCCATGTTTGCTGTACCCATTGCTCAGTAACCATCCCAGTGCTTCACAAATTATGATAGGAATGTCAATGCAATTCCCAGCCTAAAATGCTTGTCAGTGGTACTTGCAACATATCATTCTGTCTCCTGTGTGCTCATTCCACACGTCACAGTCAATTTAACATATTAGGCGCATGGTAAGGCAGCACATGGCTACCAGTAACCACATGTATTTTTTTAAAATATTACAAGTTTTTCTGCCAATGTTCAGTAATTTCTCCAGATTTACATATACTTGTAGTTTTATGATACAACAACAACAAAAAAAGTTACAATTAATCTGTTTTGTTATTATATTTTTTTAACTCAGAAGAGCTCTTAAGTATAGGGGGAATTCATGATACTTGTGCAAAAAATATAAATAAAATAGCAGTTTTGCCATAATCAATGAGAATGCTTGGTACATGACCCATGCTAAACCAACAGCTGCATCCAATTACTAGCAATGACCGACCTTCTTCACCTAAACATGAGTGATTAACACAAATTCACTTCTGTACTAGAATGCAAGGGAAAGTACTAAAAACGTGATTTATTGGTATCATTCTCTCTCTAAAAGTAGAAGCCACAGTATGTGCCACACAAACTGATCTGTAACATGAGCTTCATAAAGAAGTAATCTAGAAAAGCACAGCCGCATTGGGCTTCATATAATAGGCTTGGAGAGTACATGGATTCAGAGGACACATACAGTACATGTGCATATTAGTTAGAAATTGGTCCAATAATGTACACACACACGCCAATAAACCCTGCTTTGCATTACCAATCCATTTATTTAATAGAAAAAAAAAATCATTGCATGTGCCTAAAAAAAACAATACTGCAATGTAACTCCTGCACAGAATGTCAGTCACACAATGATAGAACATGCAACCTCTCACAATCCATTATTTATTGTGCCTCTGTTTGGAACTAACACCGCTAGCTATTTAAAACCGATGCAGCTCCCAGTGATCCCTCACTGAACACACCTATAAATCGTTTCCTTGTGCTTTTCTGAATGCATGTATCAGGGATAAAATGAAAAAAGGGCATCAAATCATATTAAAGGCAGAATTCTGCCCGGGTCCCATGAGGTTTATCAAGGGCACTCTGCAGGGTGTCAGTAGAAGCAGTGCACAGAAGCAAGGCTCAATCTATGATTGCAAACAAGCTGTGCACACACTGTGCCCCTCTGTGCAGCCAGGAGGTAGGTGTCTTACCTGCAGACTCAGCTATGCTCCAAAGGAGCTTTTCTCTACCTGGAGACCCTGGTTTCTCAGAGAGTGTGCAAGGAAAGGCTGGGTTTGCCGAACAGCATTCCTCCTCTCCTCCTCCTCCTCCTTTCTCTGCAAACCACTAATATGTCTGTTTTGTAGCTGCTTGCATCTTCCTTATTCCTGCCTTCTCTCTCCTTTCTCTCCCTGCTGGTTTACAATGTCTCCCAATTCTCCTCCTACTGTGGGAGCGCTTTATTTATATTTCAGCTCTTGCTTTGGTTTGTCGAGGGAGGGGTGAGTAAAGCAAAGGGTTAAAGAAGTTTCTGTTGATTAATTTCTTTTATTTAAATCAATGTAGTCTACTTTCATTTTTTTTATCCATCTTTATCTTTTTATTTATCTCACTTTCATTGTTTTAACAATTAGCTGGGAGCAAAGTGTAACTATGTTAATATTTTAACTATGAAGGTGAAAACTATGCTTGCATTTCACGCCAGGGAAAAAACGTGTTCTGTGACATAACTTGACGTTTATAACAAAACCAACAGTGTTTACATTTCCATTACTTACTCTTTGTGGAGCCCTGAACAAGACTAATTTGTAGAGCTCCCCACTTCTCAAGAACCCTCAAATGTCAATACAGTGCAAGCACAAACAAAAGCACACAAACATAGTTTGCACAAATGTATCCACACAAGTCATACGCATGCACAAATATATTCCCAAACACATTGTTAGCACACAGATACAGTAGCATGCACACACACCTAGAGGCTTGCATTCATAAACAAACAAAACTCACATGCATATACACACGCACATAGGTAGATGCATATACAGTCACTACACACAAACTCTCTCTCTCTCCTTAACCTCTTAAAGGGACTCTCCAGTGCCAGGAAAACAATCCGTTTTTCTGGCACTGCAGGTCCCCTCTCCCTACCACCTCCCAATCCCCGGTTGCTGAAGGGGTGAAAATCCCTTCAGTGACTTACCAGAGGCAGCGACATGTCCCACGTCGCAGCTTTTTCCTCCGCCGCCGCTCCTCCTCTTCATTACGTTGGCCGTCGGGCGAGACTGATCCCGCCCACCGGCCGGGTAGACCTAATGCGCATTAGTGCTCTGCTTTCCTATGGGGAATTGAGCGAAGCTGGAGGTCCTCACACAGTGTTAGGACATCCAGCGACGCTCTAGCACAGGTTTTCTGTGCTATAATCCAGGAAGTGCCCTCTAGTGGCTCTCTAGTAGACAGCCACTAGAGGTGGAGTTAAAGGACCACTCTAGGCACCCAGACCACTTCAGCTTAATGAAGTGGTCTGGGTGCCAGGTCCAGCTAGGGTTAACCCATTTTTTATAAACATAGCAGTTTATGAATGGGTTAAGCCTTCCCCCAAAGCCTCTAGCAGCTGTCTCATTGACAGTCGCTAGAGGCGCTTGCGTGCTTCTCACTGTGAAAATCACAGTGAGAGCACGCAAGCGTCCATAGGAAAGCATTGATAATGCTTTCCTATGCGACCGGCTGAATGCGCACGCATTCAGCTGACGGGGAGGAAAGGAGGAAGTTTGGAGGCAGAGAGCTCCCCGCCCAGCGCTGGAAAAAGGTAAGTTTTACCCCTTTCCTTTCCAGAGCCGGACGGGAGGGGGTCCCTGAGGGTGGGGACACCCTCAGGGCACTATAGTGCTAGGAAAACGAGTATGTTTTCCTGGCACTATAGTGGTCCTTTAACCCTGCAAGGTAATTATTGCAGTTTATAAAAAACTGCAATAATTACACTTGCAGGGTTAAGGGTAGTGGGAGTTGGCAACCTGACCACTCCAATGGGCAGAAGTGGTTTGGGTGCCTGGAGTGTCCCTTTAAGGTCAAAGACAGTTGTCCATCCGCTGAGACAAAACAAAATCTAAAATTTGTGCCATGTGATTTCTCTTTAAAGGGACACTATAGACTCCCAGACCACTTCAACTCATTGAAGTGGCCTGGGTACAGTGTCCATGTCCCCCTTAATCCTGCAATTGGAATTATTGCAGTTTTTTATAAACTGCAATAATTATATTGCAGTGTTAACCTTACCTCTAGTGGCTGTCTACTAGACTGCCACTAGAGCGACTTACAGGTTGTTAGGCGACTTTTGGTCCCCTAACTTACGCTGGACGTCCTTATACAATGCTTTCCTATGGGTGAAGTCCTAATGTGAGTGCAGCACTCGCCACACATGCGCATTATGTTTGGTGGCTGAAGTCGGCAGAGGAGAGGTGTAGGAATCAGGTAAGTGACAGAAGGAGTTTTTAACCCCTTATGCATCACTGTGAGGGTTGGGGGGGTCATTATGAGGAGTTATACTATTTTCCTGGCACCATAGTTACCCCTTAAAAGCACCCTTACATATTATATATTGTTTTCTTAACATTAACCTTGACATAGCATTAACCATTACCCTACACCAGGGGTGCCCAAAAGGTAGACCGGGGCTGGGCAGCTGAGCTCATTGGCTGAAAACATCAACTGATCACTCTCAGCCAATGAGCTAAGCCCTGCACTGCCAAGCCTGGGAGACTCTGGGTAAGAAGTAAAATTGTGAACAAATGGTTTGACAGGGTGGTGGAAGACAGGGAGAGGCGCTCTGTGTTGCCCTTGATGGATAATTTTTGGGGAGAAAGAGCTGGGCATCAAGCAGCAGAGCCTTCCAATTTGCCCTCATTGATTTGTTGTATGGGCAACACGTGCTGGGATATAAAATAGAATTTAAGCACCCAATGCATATCAGAATGTTACTACGCAATGGGAAGAGTTATTGTCAATAACTGCTGCCATACAGCCCATACTTCAGAGATGTTAATGTGAAAGCCTTGTCAGTAGGATAGTCCACAATTCTGCAGCCTGTTGTACTCATCCTAGCGAGTGGAGTTTTAAGGTCAATCCGTAGTGACAAGGAACATCTATAGTTCTAGCAGGACTTTTTGTATCTGATGGCGCATACTCTGTGCTTTCTGGTTTTGCATGCGCAAGTTCTCTTTACACTGGAAATAAATATGGAGGGTTATAGAAGTGTTTCTAACATATAAGAGTGGGAAGGTTATAAAAGTTAGGTACTCACTGCAAAAAAGGGAGTACAAACAAATACCCGTTGTTTCCATGGTGATTGCTTCTTTTCTTGAACTTAATTGAAACATTTTTATAACTCGCCCTATGAATGCTGCACATTATCCCTAAAAACACATTCACAATGCATAATTAGAGATGTCGCGAACCATTCGCGAACTTCCCGCGAACGGTTCGCCGCGAACGGTTCGTGGCGAGCTCCGGTCAGCTGACACATCCCGGCCAATCTCTAGCAGACCCTCCCTCCCAGACCCTCCCACCTCATGGACAGCATCCATGTTGAAGCTTCAACATGGATGCTGTCCAGGAGGTGGGAGGGTCTGGGAGGGTCTGCTGGAGATTGGCCGGGATGTGTCAGCTGACCGGAGCTCGCCGCGAACGGTTCACAGGGAACCGCGGAGAGCCATTCGCGGGAAGTTCGCTGTGACGAAGTGCCCTTCGCCACTTGGTCCTGGAGAGGCCTACTTGCCAGCCTCCTCCCCTGTGACTATGACTCTTTCATGTATCTGGCTTTAAAGCACCTAGTCTACCTTCAGACAGACTATTTATGTAGGCTGCTTTATTTATCTTATGTTTTAGTCACCCTGTACCCATTATAGGTGCAGGGTGTGTGTAATGTAATTGTTTATAGTGTGTGTGTGTGCTGTGTAATGTATTGCCTGCTCTCTTGTATTGCTGAGGTTTGCTACCAACTAGGTGGGTTTGGCTATGGAGCTTGTCTAGTGCCCTCTGTTGGTAGCAACAGCAATATGCACTACCTGAATTGCAAGACTGGTTCATTTGCATATTCGGGTAGATTTGCATATTGCTAATTCTGCAGGCAGGTGAGATATTTACTGTTAAATATTGTCTCCCCCCACCCCTTTAAAAATGTGCCATTGTGTTGTGATAAGTCACTGTGTGTTGCTTGATGTGGTTTGACTGTTTGTGATTTTATTGAGGTTTCACAACAATGTTATTGTGGTGACCCTATTGGCTGGTCCCAAGGGAAATAAAGGTTTAGACAGTTCTTCTTGATCCTTCTAAACGTAGCCTTGTCTCGTTATTGGAGGGAGCTGTTATAATCACACTGGGGATTGCTATGCTCTGCATGCTCCCCTGAGCTTGAGTCACTTAGCTCTTTTAAGAGCTTGTTCCTGACACGCTCTCCTTGGAGGAGGGGTCTTCACCACACAGTCCTGGAGGACAGAAGCTGATCCAGGGTGGAAGGAAGACGGCGAGACTCCAGTCAAGATACGGAGGTTGCGGAGTCTGCGGTGGTTGTGGTGTCTGCTGCAGTGCTTGGGAGTCCTCAGGAATTACAATAAATACAACTACTATTGTATATATCCTATAATTCAATAGCTATAGTTAACTGTGCATGTTCATGTCTTCTGTATGTTGGTGTCTATAAATACAGCTAGTCCAGTTTTCCCCTGCAGTAAAATCCTTGAAAGGTAATGATATAATTTTCTACGTTCGGTCTCAATCTTTGCTTCAAAATTCAGTTTTCTGGTGAATCCTGAGTCAGCACATTTCTACACTAAGTGTACTGTAATGTGAGCTGAGGGCTCTCAGCCAATGCATATTGTCCTAGATTGGTATGAGCTAGTATCATAATCTGGAAGTATGAGTGGACAGAGTAAGGTGTAACTTTTTTAATTTTAATAAAAAAATGTTATGGTAATTTTCTCTGGGTGCACTCCCATGTAATGTTCCGCACATGCATTATGACTATACATTGATCAGCCACAACATTAAAATCACTGACAGGTGAAGTGAACATTGGTTATATCATTACAGTGGCCCCTGTCAAGGAGTGGGGTATATTATGTAAAAAGTGAATAGTCTGTTCTTGAATTTCTTGTCTTGGAACCAGGAAAAATAGGCAAGCATAAAGATCTGAGTAACTTTGATGAGGGCCAAATAGGGACAGCAAGATAACTGGGTGAGAGCATCTCCAAAGTGGCAAGTCTTATGGGTGTTTCTGATATGTAGTAGTTGGTACCTACCAAAAGTGGCACATGGAAGGACAACCAGTGAAATGGCGTCAGGGTCATGGGTGCCCAAGGCTCATTGATGCACATGGGGATGGAAGGCTAGCCCATCTGATCACACTGAAGAGCTACTATAGCTCCAATTGCTGAAAAAAAAAATGAATGCTGGCCATGATAGAAAGGTGTCAGCTTGCTGCATATCCGCAGATTGATCATAGGCACTATGATGATCCCTGTCCATCACCAAAAAGTGCCTTCAAAGGGGAGCGACAGATGGCAGGATGAGTGTGCATCATTTACCTGTGGAAGAAATAGCAGGATGCACTATAGGAAGAAGGCAGGCTGGCCGAGGCAGTGTTTTGTTCTGCTGGGAAACCTTGGAACCTGGTATTCATGTAGATGTTACTTGACACGTATCACCTACCTAGAGATTGTTGCAGACTATGTATACCCCTTCATGGCAATGGTGTTACCTAATGGCAGTGGCCTGTTTCCGGGTGTGCCGGGGCCGCACGTTAAGGGAAAATGAATATCTAGGGGGCCCGGCCAGCACTGTGGTGCTTTAACGGCGCGACCGGGCTCCCTGTGATGATATCAGAGCACAGGGAGGAAGTGACTGCCCCTGTCACTTCCTCCCAGCAACCACCAGGAGCTGCACGGGACGAAAAGAGGAGGAGGTCAGAGTGGGAACTCTGACTCCCATCAGGCTGAGCCACCACTGGACTCCAGTCAAGTCACCTGCATGTCTGTATGTATGTGTGTATGTGTGTGTCTCTATGTGTATGTGTGTCTGTATATATGTATCTCTGTGACAGTTCATCTTGATGGCCACAGTAATATCGGCCATAGTTGTCATCTCTAGGCATTGTTCTAACCTTGCGGTCCTCATGCCAAGGGAATGGATCTCGGCCTGCAGGACCGTCGTAGATGTCACAATTTCTCCTGCAAGGTAAGTGCGGACTTTGGCCAGTTTGGCTAAAATTTGATTTGTGTCCCCAGAGGACTTATTTGTTGCGGAGTCAGCATGCAGTGAAGATGGGGGAAGAAGCTGGGTCTGGCTCCCCACTGGTATAGCTTTTGGGGCCGCAAATAGGTCCATCGCCGTAGCCCCCATTCTGTGCACCTTTTGGGTGCTTTTTCGGATTTAGTTTCTCCATGGTGCAGTAAACAGCTCGGTTTTGGTAGCTTTTGTAGACTTTATGCAGTGTGTTCAGAGCGGAGCTTCACTCAGACACGTCCAGCTTGCTCCTTGGTCAGGCCATGCCCCTTCCCAGCCCTTTTTTCTTCCCAATCTCCTTTTATTTCTTACACCCAGCCACTTGTGTGTGTGTGTGTGTGTGTGTGTGTCTCTCTTTCCTTCTCCAGCCCATGTGTCTCTTCCCAGCCCCTCTTTGTTTCCCATGTTCCCATCCCCCAGCCCCTCTGTGATGGCCACTCCAGAACCTTCACCTTTTTCTGCTGTAACCACTGGAGGGTCAACTTAGCCTTGTGCTTGGGGTCATTGTCATGCTGGAAAGTCCAAGAGCGTCCTATGCGTGGGCCTTCATACAGAAGAATGCAAATTGTTTGCCAGTATTTTCTGATAACATGCTTCATTTGTCTTGCCAACTTTCACAAGATTCCCCGTGACTTTAGAGCTCACCCCCCCCCAAAACATCAGTGAGCCACGACTATACTTCAAAGTGGGGATGCTATTCTTTTCACTATAAGCCTTCACTTCTCAGCACAACTCTATATAAATACACTGATACTTTTAAACACACTGATATATTGCTCAACAATACCAATTAGTTCACATAGTGACACATCATACAATTACACCCCCAGCATTTAAACACAAAAATTTAGTTCATGAGGGTTGGTTGAATTTTTAAAAATTCTACATGTCCAAGGGACTAAATAGGTATCTCCATCTACTTATCCTTCATGACAATCTCTTTATCCTGACACACAAGTAATTTTAGATTGGGTCGCATGTCTAGAGTTTTGGACATTGACAGGGTTATTGACTAAACTGAGCATTTTTGCTAATTAAGCCCAGATGGAAAAATTGAGACTAAAAAGCTGAGATGGAAACTTTACCATTCCAATTTCCCTATAAATTTATTTGTGAAGATTCAGACTTTAGTGAATAACCCTAAGTGTCACACCCAGTAACCCCCCCCCCCCAACCATAGTCTCTCCATTTGTCCCCACTATAGTAGTGTGCTTTGTGGAGGCTGTGTGTAAAATGTGTGGTATGTGCCAGCTGTTTGTAATGTGTGTGTGTGGTATGTGCCAGCTCTGATATTTACAGGCTGGGTATATATATAATACACACTCGTCCTTACCTATAAATAAAATAATTTAATTTTAAAAAGTCAGTATAACCTCCACATTAGTATAAGGGAGGTTTCAAACCTCCTTTATGCTCCCACCCACCATACTGCGGATGGGAACATGTCTACTAAACAACGAGTAGCCGACAGTGGCTGCTTACTGTAAACCCTCATAACCAAAACTAGAACCTAGTTATTGCTGCCCAGTCACTGATAATAGTCATATCTCATGGGGATTAGCCATGTAGAATGCCCCACCCATGATTGTGTGTTCTCAAAAAATAACTGTGGCAGATTCTAAACTTGTTACCCACAGCCATTACCGTAAAAGTGGCAAATGAAAGCTATAATTTATAAACGTGACAGGTGGGTGCAATGTTAAAAGCAATAAGGAGGGGTGGACATGCTATTGTCCACCCCTTTACGTCTCCACCCATAGTGAGGGGACTTTAGTGTCCTCCTTATTTGTTTTCTTCAATCAGCTCCAACCTTTCTGTCCATGGGTGGGGCAAGGAGGTGGTCTGTGACCTGCCCATCCCCATTATTTTATGCCCTCCATGGAATGCCAAGAGTTGGGATCATGGGGTGAGGATACCTGAGTCAGGTTGCAATCCCCAGTATATTAGCCCCTGTATACTCACTGTTTAATCATCACATGAAATGGCAGGTAGGGACATCAAGTAGGTATTAAAGCTCCTTTGTAATAATGAGTAATTATGGAGTCACCTCACAGGCTCTTTTTTATAATTCTTTTTACATTTTCATGTGGTAGCTGGCTTGCAAGTGCTGTTCACTCATTGCATGATTAACTCTTGTGCTGGCAAAGTGTTGTTTTTTTTTGTTTTTTACTATTTGCTCACTGGCTGCTATTACTGCCAGCTTCCAAAAAGTAAACAAATGACGAAACTAATTTAATATGTCCATTGATTGTTTTATTTGTTTCCTGGTTTGTCAATTGGACAGTTTGGAACTTTGGTCTAATAGATGATCACCCAAAATGTATACATACATTGTAATTCTTCCAAAACCAAAAGCACACGTCTAGTTTTAGGGGCCTTGGACTGGAGCATTGTCTAAGGACAGCGGAGCCTCACTAAATCTAGAACCACATCTGGTTAAACTCACAGTTTGCACGTCTCTCACACTGGGTGGATACTGTGACTTCTGTTGCCTTTCTATTGCATTGCAAAGAAAGATTTGACATCTCCCTTCCTGCTCAGAATAATTTAATGCTACCATAACCTAATAAATTTGCTGAATTGAACATCTTCCCAATCTGGAGTCAATCTTATTTTTCTCCCTGTGTTTGGTTGTTCCTTGCTCAGTGGTGGGACACATATGATCAAAGTGCCTTAAATGTGCAACGAAATACTTATCTGTTTCTGTTACTCGTGTCTACATCAGACTTTAACACAGTCTACTTTTATTTTTATTTTTGCTTTCCATCCCATGTGAATTGGGCAAACCTTAGACAAATCTAATTGAGTTCAGCAGGCCTACTTGTCAAGTATATTAATCATGTGATGACAGATGCCAATATACCCACCTACTATCCCAACACAATTATTTTTAACCCCTTTTAGTAGTGCTTGTTTACAATTCTTATCAATTGACATGTAACTTATAGAGAAATTACATGCTTTGTGTCATTAGGGTTGATTCCACTATTTTAATAGTCTGGCTTTAAGTTTCTGTTTATCTGAGTTTCATGTTTGTATTTGCATTAATCATCCTTATTTCTCCCTTGCAGCCCAATGGTCATTAGAAGATTTGTCAACTATGCGCAAGTGCACTAACTACTTATGCTCCAAACACTTAACAATCAGCTCTATCCTACCCTTGCTCGCCCTCCACTCCCTTGCAATTACCTAGCTTGTTTACTTTAGAACCAGTATACTATATGATCTGCAGTTTTAAATTGTTACAAACTGAGCAAAGTTTGTATTGACCCTCTCAAGCCACTGTTCACCTGCTTTGTTGGGAATGGGATACAGGGATGTGTGGAGAAATTATATCCTTGGTGTCTAGATCGAGATCTCAGAACGCCTTAAGATCTCAGTAACTGTATTGGAGAGAACTCAATTTTTTTTATAAAATTGGTACATGGGCCATAGTTAAGGTCTCTACTGACTACTTATAAAATGTTAAGCAGCAAATGACGTTTGATAACATATTCAGTGTGTAGACATTAACAGGACTGCCATCAGAAATTTTTGGGCCTCCTTACACACGTTGAGATGTGGGGGTTTGCTGTGTGTGTTTGTAGAGGATGTAATGTTACAAAGTTACGTACCTATATCGCTGAAAAGAGACTGACGTCCATCAAGTTCAACCTTTCTCACTTATGTTTTTGCTGTTGATCCAAAAGAAGGCAAAAACCCAGTCTGAAGCACTTCCAATTTTGCAACAAACTAGGAAAAAAATTATAGCTATTATCACTAATTAGAAATTATTTCCCTGTATATTATGTTTTTGCAAGTATTTTAGAAATGCTATTTAGACATCTGTATGGACTCTGATAAAACCACCGCTTCAGGCAGAGAATTCCACATCCTTATTGTTCTTACTGTTAAAAAAAATTTTTTTTTGCCTTAGACTAAATCTCCTTTCTTCCAGCCTAAATGCATGACCTCGTGTCCTATGTCCTATGGATAGCCCTGTTTATGAATAGATTTCCAGACAATGGTTTGTACTGGCCATGAATATGGCTCTGTATAATGTTATCATATCCTCTCTGAGGCACCGTTTTTCCAAACTAAAGAGATTTAATTAAAAAAAAAAAAAATTATTTCTTTGAGCAGTGACACATGATAGAAAGTCATACAATTTCATGGCTTGCGCAGAAGCCAAATAAGAATATGCTCAGATACAATTACTAAGCGTGCCAAGTATGTTAATCATCTGTTACGAATTTTCATATTTATATAAAAAACAGAAAAACGTAGGTACAATTGAGTAAAGCACTGGTAGTATCTTTACTCGGTATCTACACGGGCCAGTGTGTGTAGTATCGGGTCCAGAGCTGAGACGTCAAGTGCGATCCGGCAGCGCAAGCTGCAATTGTCTGCCGTTGTCCCAGGCCTCCCAGCCCATCACCGTGTCTGTGGAGTATCATGTGCTGATACTAGCAAATGTTGATAACTGTATTACCAGTCAAGTGTACTATGAGGACACCGAGCCGGTTATGATTGAAACAAGATCAATGGCTCGTAAACCACACCCATACCCACACCAGTGCACGAGTGCCCCTTGTGGGGCCAACTTTCAGTAGTGTTCTGTGACCAACCCCACCCCATCCTCCAGTGACCCTCCCCCCATCACCATCCGATGTCAAGTTAGTGTCACTCCTCAAACTGCTCCCATAGATCCCACACTTTTTGGTGACCATTGTATTTCGTACCTGTCCTGTCAACTTATCCATCAAATAATTATCTTTGGTTTTGGCAATGATCAGCTCTAATTGGGGCGTTTCTGGTTTTATCCAGTTTTGAGTTAAAGCTCTGTGGGCTGCTAGATATATCATGTTCAGTAACCTTTGTCCAAACGTATCCAGTCCTTCTGTAGGTCTGGACAAAAGGCTTACCAATGGATCTAAAGTTAGCCTCTGTTGTAGGATGCGTGAGCTCAGGTCCACCACCTCCTTCCAGTAGTCTCTGACTTTGGGACATGTGAATGTAGCTGCCTAGGTGCCAGCATGTGTCTGTGGGGCTTGTTTTCATGTGGTGCTGTTTCACAGGAGTCGTGTACCACCTGAAAAGTGTTATGTGCGCTTGTTCTAGTAACGGTGTACAAATGGAAGTTTTCGCACAGGTTTCCCAGATTTCCCAGATTTCCCTGCCATTCTGTCCCCTCTAATGCCTCCACCAGGTCCTCCTCCCACCAGTCCATGTATTGTAATGTACCTCCTTCCCCTGATTCTGAGCTTAAGTGACTATAGAGTAGGGAGATTAGTCTTGTTGGTGAGCTTTCCTTGAGGCACATGATTTCAAAAAAGATTAGTCGTTTCACTATCGCTATCTTTACCTCAGTCGTCCGTGCAAAGTCTCTAAGCTGTATATAGTGGAAAAAGTCTTGAGTGCTCAGAGTTGCCAACGTTTTCAGGTGTTCGTACGTTACTACCTCTTTGTCAACGTATAAGTGTATGTAACGTTGCAATCCAGTGGCTTCTATGCCCTTAAAATCTTTTGCTCTCATGCCTGGTAGGAACGCTCTGTTCCTTAGCACTGGGGTCATGGGTGAGGGGTTGCTGGTGAGCTTATATTTTTGTGCTACTCCGTCCCATATATCCATGGAGTTTAAAACTGATGGGCAGGCGGTCCTGAGGGGCGCCCTGTGCTCTCTAGGGGTCCATATGTAAAACTGGGCAATTTGGGCTAATTGCGCTGCAAGATAGTACATGTAGAGGTGGGGCATACCCAATCCCCCTCTCCACATAGGTCCATAGAGGATAGCACGGGCCACTCTGGGTTGTTTCCTCTGCCATATAAAGGTGTCAATGGCCTTTCGAATGTCTACAAGGTCCCCCTTTGTGACCCGTACTGGTACGGCTTGAAACATGAACAGCAGCCTAGGCATGACATTCATCTTAACTGTGAAAGCGCCCCAGCCATGAGATAGTTTTATCTGTCCATTTGTCCAGATCCTTTTTAAGTGTGGCAAATAGTGTGTAGTTGTACCTATAAAGTGCAGCTGGGTCTGCTGTTAGTTGAACCTCCAAATAAGTAAATGCTTCCGTGGTAATTTTAATTTGATGTGTTTGCCTAATGAGCGTTATGTCCTGGTCAGTTATGTGAATGGGCGTTGCTATCGATTTAGTGAGATTCACCCTGTAGCCCGAGACCTTTCTGTATTCATCTAGTAAAGTTGTCAGTCTGGACAGAGCGTACCAGGTCTGTGAGTGTCAGTAACACATCATCAGCATAAGCTGCCGTCCTGAATTGCTGATCTGCTAACTGGACACCGTGTATGTGTGGATCTGTTCTGATTGAGTGTAGGAGTGGCTCCAGGGATATCGCGAAAAAGGAGCAGGGACAGGGGGCATCCCTGGTGTCTCCCGTTGCGGAATTTAAATGGAGTTTTTGGGGATCCCATTAGAATCGTCTGTGCTTGTAAGTCCGTATACAAGGCACTGATTGCTTTTATGAATGGCTTGGGGAAACACTCGATTCTAAGAGGAACGACCACTGAACCTGATCAAAAGCCTTTTTGGCATCCAGGGAGAGGGTCAGGGGGGGCTTTGTTTATTCCCCCACATCCGGATGGGTGATTTTAGGCACCAGGGGTGTCAGTCTCATTGACAGTATTTTAGCGAAGATTTTTAGATCAGAGTTCATGAGGATATTGGTCTGTAGTTAGATGCTAGGGTATTGTCTTTGTCCGGTTTAGGGTGCAGAACAATATTTGCTGAAGCCATATCCCTATCTGTGCCTCCCTGGAGGAAATGGTTATATAGCTTTGTGAGGGGGGGTGCTAGTTCCTCTCTGAATTTTTTTTATAGTAACCAATATCGTATCCATCGGGTCCAGGTGCTTTATTGCCATAGAGAGCGGATATCGCTGCCTCCACCTCCTCCTGGGAGATGGGTGCTTCTAATATATCAGCTTTCCCCTCTGTCACTCTGGGTAAGTCCCTACCCGCCAGATAGGTGTTGATGCATGAGTGGTATTGGGCCTGCTCCACCGTGCTTCAGGAGGAGTGGTTGTACAATTATTGGAAGTATTCAGTAAATACGATATTAATTTCAGTTGGGGTGTGGACTAACTCGTTAGCTGAGTTACGGATTTTAGTAATAGGTTTGCTGCCCTGTCTGGGCGGAGCAATCTTGCCAACAGCGTATCCATTTTGTTAGTTTTCTCGGAGTAAAATCGCTTAGACCAAAGCAAGGAGAGTGCTACCTCTTCTATAGAGAGGTCCTTAATGGAGTGCCATATAGCTTGTAATTCCGCTAGTTTAGATGTTGTGGGGTTGTGTTTATGTTGGAATTCAGCTTTACTCAAGGCGGATTGTAGCTCCAGCAGGAGCTTTGTTTTCACCTGCTTTTTATGCGTTGCCACTTTTATGAAGTGACCTCGCAGGATTGTTTTGTGTGCTGCCCACAATGTTGTTGGATTTGTGTCTCCTGTCTCATTGTTGAGGAAATAATCTACGATAGTTGCCTTGGTTTTTGTAAGTATGTCCTCGTCCCTGAGCACCTAGTGTTAAGCTTCCAGGACCAGTTGGAGCTATTCCCATTGTACAGCGCTACGGAATTTGTTGGCGCTATATAAATAATAAAATAATAATAATAATAATACTGCAACCCTTCCAGGGCAACTGCAATGTCTGCATGATCCGACCAGGTAATGTTGTTAATTTCCAAGTGCACGACTCTGGCCATCCCTGTGCCATTGAAGAGGATGTTATCTATCCTGGAGTATGTGTTGTGCGGTGCGGAATAATAGGTGTAGTCTTGTGTGTCAGGGTGTTTAAGTCTCCAAGCGCCTAACAGTTCCGTATGAGTCAGAAAGCTGTGCATTAGTTTGTCTTGCCCTCCCCTCCCCTGTGATCTACATGTCCCAGGTTTAGCACTTCTGTCTATTGTTGGGCAGGGCACGACATTAAAGTCGCCCAAAACTACAAGTATTCCACTCTGTAGGCTGTTATTAAAGTTTCAGCGTTTCCCAGAAGGAGGTATCAGGGTCGTTAGAGGCATAGACGTTAACTAAATGAATCTTCATATCGTATAAGGTGCCTGTAGTAGCTGTATATCTGCCCTCTGGGTCCATATGGTGCTATGAATGGGCAGCGCTTATGACATTGTATGGCTACTCCCGCCCTCTTCCGTAAAGCCCTCGCCTCATGTGTTTCAGTATAGACTCTGTCCCCCAGCCTGACTAGCGCCGACCTAGAAATCTGTGTCTCCTGAATTAAAGCAATGTTAGCTTTTAAATCTCGCAGGAGAAGTCTGCGTTTATTAGAAGTGTTTAAGCCTCGAACGTTAATGGACAACATTTTCAGTGCCATGTGTGTGGCAAATGTGTTAGGCGATCTGCAGCTTGAGTAACTAAGTGAGGTGTGGGGGAGCACCCCATCCCAAGATGGCCTGTCACCACCCTCCCCCCGCCCCCCAGCACCAGAGCCACAGCACCCTGCCCGAGCCGATGAGTTATATCATCACCCATAGAGTACCAACATCGAACATGTACATAAGCAATAACATAAACAGAACAAAAGAAATACCAGTCTTACAGTCTGCCAGAGTGGGTTGTGAGTGCATCCTCTCCCCTCCCCCCCCCCCTTGCGGGTTGAACAAATGTCTCCCAGGCAGGGATGGGCTGTCCACTAATCCACTGTGCTACAATGTGTATAACTCTTAGGTGTTGCAAAGTATGTAACCTGAGTTAGCCAGTGGGCACCTTTTGAAGTGCTAGGTTGGGTGAGGCATAAAGCCCTCCCCGGCATGGCCCCTTAGCTGCTCAGTAACCCGAGCTCCCCCCTGAGTGTTTCTTGCTTTGTGTCCTGTAGGGCGCCACAGAGCAATGTTGAAGGGGTGTCTCTCTACTTTTGTGTGGATGTGTGGTGTCCCCTGCGTATGTTGCTACCCCACAGGGTTGTTAGCCTCTAGGACCATCACTACGGGAGGGTATCCTGCCTTGTTGTGAGACAATTCTGGCCCATTGGAATAGACCATGCGTAGTGTGACGGTGAAAGCGATATATACTGAGGTAATTATGTACAGTGCGGAAAGCAAAATAGTACCACTTTATCAGGCCCTCCCGGGGGACTCGTGGAGTGTGTATACCCCCCCTCTTCTAAATGCCGGGGTTGTGTGAGGTATCCCTGCGTGGATGTGGGTATATTACTGCAGTTCATTTAACTGTCCCGAAAGCCTATGTTTCGTGATGGATCGGGGTCATACCGGGGGAACATAAACGTCATGCTTGACAGAGAACTTATGCGCAAAGTGTTATTAAACCAAACGGAAGGTCAATATGAATCTGAGTGGTTCAGGAGGCCCACTGACAGTAGCTATTACTCCCCTTACTGCTAAGGGGTGGTGTTCATCATTACCCTCCCCATTCATCTCCCCACCTGCAGCCGCATTGCCATCCCCAGTTCCCTTAATGGGTACTTAGCTGTGAGCCCATCTGCCCTTGCAACCGTTCTTGGGCCTAGTCAAATCGAGTCCTGGGTAGCGTCTTTCAGGTTTGGCGGCCCTCTGATTCCGCCATGTCAATCCATTCCTGAGCGAGGGTGGTAAGCACGGGCCTGGTGGACTTCGACAGTGAAAAGGTCGGTGGGGGTTCAATGCCCAGGTTCCGGAGAAACTTTACAGGATCGGCAGTGTGTGAATATGTCCCTCTCTGAAGGCGACCAGCTTACACGGGTGACTCCATGTATACCGGATCTCTTGCCTGAGCGACAAATCCACAACCGGTCTCCACTCCTCCTTTACAGGTTTGTTGGGTTAAGGTCCTGATAGAGGGATATTGTGGATGAGTTCATGTTCTCTTCTGTATTTCATCACAGCCTCTTTTATAGAATAGAAGTGGAAATGGAGAATAATGTCTCTCGGCACCGTCCCTTCTGCCCTGTGGGTAGATCACAAAAGTTCTTATAGATTCCCATAACAGTCCCTCTTTGTTGTCCTTGACTATGGCAATGTCTTATCTGGTTACATAGCTAGTTCTGAAAAGCTTGCTAATTGTAGTCCCATGGAAGATCCTATAATGAAGTTCCCTTCAGAGCCATCCCTAAAATCAGTTGATTTTCTAATTGGTGGTTGCTACATTTTTTTAAATCTTCCAATCAAGTTTTAAGCAAGCTTCTCCCTAAATTGAAGTGCTACTGTAGTTACATTCAATACCTTTATTCATCCATGCATTTATATACAGGTGTATATTAATATACATGTTATTAGTAACTCTGGATTGCCCCTAAAATCACAGGAGGACTTGGTGAGGCCTGGTGTAGGTGCTTAATGGGAGAGGTGGCCGCTCTCCCAGCTTGTCGGATACTGGACTACCGTTGAATCCTACTACAGCCCCGTCTCCACCCCTCTGAACCGAAGAGGGTGATCCCAGTTCAAACCCCAAAGGCTACACAACTATGCTATAACCAAGCAACACTTACCAGCAGTATTGACCCTACCACTACAATGGCAGTCGCCCCATGCACGCCTGATTCATGCGGTGGGAGATGGGATGTGAAGAGCAGGCTGACAGAGCTATTCAACACCTTCTTTGCAAAGCTGACCGCTCGCATGTAGACCATGGCTCCTGATCTCAAGCCAGATCTTCTGTCTCACAGTCCTGCACATCCAGACAGGCCAGGAGAAGAGGAGCCCGCTCCTGATCAGCGTCCAGAGAGTCACATCTTGGTGTTTACCAAGAACAACCCCTCTGGATACGGCGGTACCCTGATGCTGCTCTTGCATTCCTACTGGATGGACGGAACGGCTCGGGTGCAGCTGTCTTATGGCTCATGTGTCTAAGCCATGCTGTCATACCTGATGGGGCAGTTTCTGGTGCGGGACTCTGCCTGGACTCTACCAGGGCATAGGCTGAGCTGACTCCCTTTCCCTCCTCTGCCTCGTTACTAGTGATTGGGGACTGGCTTTGTTTTATGGCTACATTTACCTTTTGCATTTTTACAGAATATATTGCAGTTTACTCATATTTGACTTAATTACTCTGTAATTCCTGTAATTTTAAAAAATAGTGCTCAATCTCAGACATGTCTTGTAACCTCTTGCTCCTACTCTCTTAAGCTGATTATTATTATTATTATTTTATTATTTATATAGCGCCAACAAATTCCATAGCACTGTACAATGGGTGGACTAACAGACACATAATTGAGATCAGACCACTGACGTACAGGAACAGAGGGGGTTGAGGACCCTGCTCGATGAGATTACATGCTAGAGGGAGTGGGGTATAGTGACACAAAAGGTTAAATCACTGCATTGTCTCTGTCTTTACTTTTTTATTTTTGTATATATACTTGTATATATTTTACTATACGTTTCAGCTGTTTTCTAAACCACTGCCACAAATACAAAATTAATTACAAAAAGCAGTACAAAACATGGAACAATATTTAATGAAAAATACAATACACATTCTACCATTAATTGGCACCGACTATTTACTAAGTTATATCAGAACACATATGTATTTGTGTGTATATATATATATATATATATTACATTTTTTTATTATTATTCAAACAGGTATTCTGAGCATTCTTGCTACCCAAGTTGTCAATCCAAGTAATGGGCAAAGTGATGAAGACTCACAAAGGCATACCAATCTGATACAGTTGAAAAGTTGATAAATGTGTTATAATCACACCCAAGAGACAGGGCCGGATTAACATAGGGGCTGATGGAGCTGCAGCTCCAGGCCCAGGCCCATGGAATAGGCCCATTGATTTAAAAAAAAAAAAAAAAAAAAAATTTTTTTTTTTTAACTTTTTTTTTTTTTAACTTTTTTTTTCCACACACTACTCTTAGGGATTCCACGTGGCTTTTATTTTATTGGCACAGCCAGTATTTGAGGCTGCCTGGCTGGTGCCAATATTGCAGTGATACTGGCAATATAAATGCTGGTATTTTTCTCAGTATAAATGGAGATTACTCTGCAATACCAGACACTGGGAGACATTATGGCAGACACTGAGACACTAAGGGACATTGGGAGACATTATGGCAGACACTGAGACACTAAGGGACATTGGGAGATATTATGGCAGACACTGAGACACTAAGGGACATTGGGGGACATTATGGCACAGACACATGGGGACACAGTGTCCCCATGTCTCCCAGCCAGTGTCCCTGGTGTCTCAGTGCCCCCTAGTCTCCCAGTGAACCCTAGTCTCCCTGTGCCCACAGTCTGCCAGTGTCTCACTGTCCCCATGTCTCCTATTGCCTCAATGTATCTCAGTGCCTTAAGTGTCACAATGTCCCCAAGCTAGTGTTCCTAGTGTCTGTGGCCCTGGTGTTTCAGTGTCCCCATGTCTCCCAGTGCCCCCATGTCTCAATGTTCCCATGTCCCCCAGTCAGTGTCTCTAGTATCTTTGTCCCTGGTGTCTGTGTCCCCATGTCTTCAAGTGTCCCCTATTTTCCCATTGTCCCCATGTGTCCCAGCCAGAGTCCCCTAGTCTCCCAGTGTCACTGGTGTCTCCATGTCCCTAGGTCTCCCCGTGTCCCCAGGTCTCCCCGTCTTCCTAGTGTCCTAGTGACATGGGGACCCTGGGATACATGGGGACACAGGGAGACATGGGGCATTGAGACACTGATACATAGGATCACTGGGATACCTGGGGACACAATATTAGGGGACACTGGGAGACATGGGGCACTGAGACACGGATACATAGGAACAGTGAGACCTGGAGTAATCGACACATGGGGTGGGTAATGATGAGTCATGAGGCCACTGGGAGACATGGGGGCACTGGGAGGAATCCATCTATACAGCAGATTTAAACTAAGTAGTTTTTTGGTGATTTTATAGCATTTTCTCTTATGTCACTCCTTGTGATTTACATCATGTGATGTCACCCACACATATTTAATTATGCAAATTAGTAAGGCCGGTATGTTTTTCCAAGAAAAGTGGCAACCCTAACTACTTTTCACATACTCTTACTTAAGTATGGAAACTTAAGAGGGATGTATGGGAACAAAATTTGTGTGGACTGGCTGACAATGAATATAGTTAAAGAAACACTATAGTCACCAGAACAACTACAGCTTATTGAATTTGTTCTGGTGAGTAGAATCATTACCATCAGGCTTTTTGCTGTAAGCACGGTCTTTTCAGAGAAAATGCAGTGTTTACATTAAAGCCTAGTGATAACTTCACTGGCCACTCCTTAGATGACTGTTAGAGATCCTTCCTGGGTCATGGCTGCCTAAAATGCATCCAAACATTCAGTGTCTCCTCCCTCTGCATTCAGACACTGAACTTTCCTCATAGAGATTCATTGATTCAGTTCAGCTCTATGAGGAGATGCTGATTGGCCAGGGCTGTGTTTGAATCATGCTGGCTCTGACCCTGATCTGCCTCTTTGTCAGTCTCAGCCAATCCTATGGGAAAGCACTGTGATTGGATCAGGCCACCACTTCTAATGATGTCAGCAGACTGCTTGTTTTTATGAGTCTAACAGAGTTACAGCAGAGTTACAGCTTCAGGCTTGAATATAGTAGGATTTTGCTATATTTATGAAGGCATGAGGGGCCCAGGGGGGCTAGATGGTGGTGTTAACACTATATGGTCATGAATTCATGTTTGTGTTCCTGACCCTATAGTGATCCTTTAAGGTAATGCTGACTTTGGTCTCTCTAACACTGTGGCATGTTCCCTTTCTTCTACACTCACTACTCACTACATACAGCTTTTCTCTGTCCCAGACCATATACCAGGAACTTCTGCCTGCTATTAAGAAGGTAAGGAGACAAGTGGACCAGCGAGTGCTAGGAGACAGTCAGTGGTGTATCCTGGTTTTATGCTACCCTAGGCAGGACAAAACTCAGACGCCCCCCTCCCCCCGCGCCACCCCCACCCAACCCTTCCCCCCACCCCACCTTCTAAATACACACAGTCAGACACAAACACACACACACACACACAGTCAGACACATACACACACACACACACAGTCAGACACAGACACAAACACAGTCAGACACATACACAGACATAAACACAGTCAGACACAAACACACACATACACAGTCAGACACACACACTCACAAACACAGTCAGACACACACACTCACACACAGTCAGACACAAACACACACAGACACATACACACACACACACAGTCAGACACATACACAGACAGTCAGACACAAACACACACACACTCACAGACACAAACACACACACACTCACAAACACAGTCAGACACAAACACACACACAGTCAGACACAGACACACACACACACACTAACTTTTTTTTTTAAATTTAAATCCCCCCCCCAACCTCCTTACCTTTGGGAGTGCTGGGGGGGAGGTCTCTCTCTCCCTGGTGGTCCAGTGGCTGCCGGTCGGGCGGGCGGCGCTGGCAGGCAGGCGGCTGGCGAGGGAGCTCTTCCTCTGAGCTGACTGCTCAGCCCCCTCGCGCGCCGGTTGCAGAGTGAGGCTGGGAGCCGGAAGATGACGTCATATTCCGGCTCCCAGCCTCACTCGGTGGCGCGCGAGGGAGCTGAGCAGAGTGCTCAGAGGAAGAGCTCCCTCGCCAGCCGCCCGCCCGCTCGGGATGTCTGTTAGCCGCAAGGCTAACTAGGCATCTGCCCTGGGCAGTTGGGGGGGCGGCGTTTTTTGCCGCCCCCTGAAAAATGCCGCCCAAGGCAAATGCCTTGTTTGCCTCGCGGCTAATACGCCCCTGGGGACAGTCCTTAGAAAGCATTGAGCGAGTGCATCATTAGATGCATTTATGCCAAGCTCAGGGTGCTGTCTGCATAGTATGCCCTTAGTTGGCCAGCTGCATGATTGGCAGGCAGTCTGACATGCATTCATGCCAGGCTGGCCTTCTAATTCTTTGGGCAGACATATCCTCTTTTTGGGCATGTTTGCCCTTTTTGTCAGGTTACGTGATTTGTGTCAGTGGCACACCCTTTTACCATGCCCATTGACTTCCTGCTTGACTGGACACTGCTGTTAGGGGTTATGGATTTACTTGAAAGATGAAAATATAAATTAGAGAGAGTATAGCCTAGGGTATGTGTTTTCTTATAGCTGCTGTTTTCTTTCTCTCCAGCACCATCTCCATCAGATACGTGATGCTTGGGAGTGTTTTACTGTTTTTGGTCGATATGATTCTGTAATTAGGCCCGTCATAATTGTCAGCACCAGGCCCACTGGGCTCTTAATCTGGCCCTGCCAAGAGAGGAATAAAATGAACATCCCAGAAAGTCGTGAACTAGTTTGCACCCAGACAAGTAATATAATGCATATTTTTCTCCAGCTATGACAAATTCTTTGGAAAAACAAATGTAAACTGCAAATGGACATATGTATATTTTGTCTAACTGTAGGTCCATTGCCCATTAGTTTATGCCTATTTTGCAGTCTAAAAGATTGCATTTGAAAAATCTTCTTATCAAGGCCAAGGATTTAATAAGCTTTCCAAAAGATTTAATACGGTTAGAAAAAAAAATTTCTTAATGGTTTACCTACCATTAAAGTCTTTGTAAAATAATTTTAAAAATGTTTTTTCTGACAATATTGAATAATTTGGAGTGTTTCTTAAATCAAGGTAAAAAAAATCAACACAAAACTTCCCTTTCCATACAAGCCTGAAGTCTGATCAATTGTTTATAGATAGTGCTGGTATAATATGACATACCAGTAATTCTGTTTTTGATCAATCTTGCACCACATTACATGGGAGGATCCTGTGACGTCAACCTGATTTACAAACTATACCAGGATGTCTCACTCTTAGATGGGAAACAGATGCATTTTTCTGCCTAATGCATTTCTGCAATATAGTACTGCAGATTTACTGTAGGGAGTTACTATGTCTAAAAGGAAATGTAAGAAGCAGTGCTTGTAATGCCAAACTGCTATTTGACAATCATATACTATTTTCTTTCATCTGCTGATGTTTGCCAGAAAAAGTAATAGCAGCCATACCTCTTATTTTGCTCACTTTTCAAAGATAAAACTAATTGTAGAAATTTTCCAGAGCACAAATGAACAATATGGGAAAATATGTAGAGCATTAAGTGGTCCTGTCACTGGCAAGAACAGGATTATTAATCAAGAGAACATAAAAAAAAAAAAAAAATTGAAGCATTTTTTAAAAATGATTCAGCAGTATTGGTATAGTAATGATTCAGCTTGTTTTCATTTAAGAATTTTTAGTGCATATCTGGTATCTTCCTGATTGGTTGTTTACTTAATCCTTGTAACTCGTTATGTAATAATTTATATAAGAGGCTCAGAAAACCAAGCTTTTATATGTATAGATTAAATGTCTCTCGCTGCCAGACAACTTTGTCATCAATGGAACCATGACAAAGCACTGTAAGAAAGGGGTCAGTTTCAGGTTACAATGTGTTTTATACATAGATTATGTGTAGACACCCACCATATTTTTATTTTTATTTTAAAATCCACATATAATGGCTTGCAAAGATATTCAGACCCTTGACCAATTTCACCGAAAGACAATCTATACATTGAACTATTGGTCTTTTTCATACTTTAAATATTTTAACTTAATAGCAATTATTTTAAGGTGACATTTATTTTATGTTGGAAAATATTTTGACGTCAAAAAACCCCCAAACAACCTAAAATTTAAAAAATTGCTAAAATATTCACCCCCACTGCTTTGGAAGCTCTCTTTTTATACAGGTGAAATAAATATTCGAATAAAAACACATCTATCTGACAAGTGTCCTCAACTTAAGACCTTAAAGTGATAATTTTTTCACTAGTTAAAAGTGCCACTGTGGATAAGGATCGTTGGTGAGGTTGCAGATCTAATGAAAAGTTGTGACAATAAAGAAGAAAGAGCATTCTACCACAGTTAGACATGGATGACTCAAACTACATCAGTTGAAAAAATAGGTACATATACTATTTAGTTTATTAATTCTCCATGCTCTATTTATTAATCAATGGTGTTGTACTAATTACCTCTGTATACATGGTTTAACTATTGCGTGGATTCACTGTTTGAATATGACAATCAACAGACACCACCCAACAGACCTGAACCATCTGGAGCAAATTTGCTAATTAGAATGGCTACAAATAAATAAGTCCCAGACAGTGTTCAAAGCTGGTATATGCTTATCCCAAAGTCTCAAAGTACACTATATTTACCTAAGCAATTTAATGAAACAGGTTTAATGTATAGATCATGCCCCTGCAGTCTTACTGCTCAATTCTCTGCCATTTAGGAGTTAAATCACTTTTGTTTCTGCTTATGCAGGTCTAGCCATACATTTCCTGGCTGTGACTCACACAGCATATATGAAATATGATTTTATTTTCAATCAGATGTTAACTTACTTTAGTAGTTTAAGTAGTTTTTTTTTTTTTGTTTAAATCTCCTGATCTGTAAATTGACCTTTAATCACACAAGACGTCTCCTGCAAGGTCTAGCAAAATATTAACAGTGCAGGAGATAACACATTGTAAATTAAACAGACTATGCAATAAAGGAAGTAGAAACATTAGATCTCAATTTACAGGAAGTGTTTAGGAAGACTGTGCATGTTACACATGGGGAGCTGTGCCTAGGGCTGCATAAACAAAGTGATTTAAGTCCTAAATGGCAGAGAACTGACCAGTGAGACGGCAGGGTATCGATCTGTACACCGAAACTGCTTCATTAAGCTAAGGTTGTTTTGGTGACTATAGTGTTTCTTTCAGTGCTGTTAGGAAAGCCACCTTTTGCTGTAATGAGTATTTCAGTTTTTCGTTTAAAACTCTACTCAAAAATACATAATTTTGATTTTGAAATGTACTCTTAAAACACTTTTTTTTTTTTTACAGTTTTCATTCAAAATATTGCTTTGGCATTCCTAAGAATTTGAAGTGCAGAAACATTATAATATTCCAAAGATCAAAATACTTTTGCAAAGCATTGAAATTTGTTTTGCAGCTGTGAAATAAACTGCAGAAATAAAAAACTAATACAAGCGGGAAGTATGAGTTTATATGCCTATACATAAGTTTTGGGAAGGGAACATTGATATATATTATATGAATGAATAACATTGAAGGGGTTTAATATATAATTGGGATTGGAGAAGATTGACAAGGCAATCATAGACAAGCTAAAACATGGGTTAGATATTTTTTACAATATGACTATTTTTTACCTAAATCCTGCTGTTTACACCATTAAATTACGGTTCTGTTGGACATTTTGAAAAGTGTTGGATAAAAGAATGGTAAAGGAATGAATGAAAGAAGGGTGAGAGGCAAATTTTCTTGTAAATCTACTTAAAGTAGCTCTGTCATGCCAAACTTACCTTTTTCCTATTGTTTCCTCTTCTCTCAGAATCTGTTCTTCTTTTCTTTATTTCTGATCTAGTTTTCTTTAAAACATAAGACAAAGTAGGGACTACTTTGTCTTACATATTTTTCCTACACTTGACTTGCTTTGACACAAGGAAGAGCTCAAGTCAGCTCCATTTCCTGTGTCAATCAGGAAGGTGAGTATGATGGGAAAACTTTCTCTGACACAGGAAATGGAGCTGACTGAAGCTGCTTTATTGGTCAAAGAAAGTCAAGCATAGGAAAACTACATAGACAAGGTAGTGCCTACTTTGTCTTATGATTTGCAGAAAACTATATCAGATAGGAAGAAAAGAAGAACAGATTCTGGGAGAGGAAGAGAATAGGAAACCATAGGAGAAAGGTAAGTTTGGAGTGACAGTGCCGCTTTAACCCCTTAAGGACACATGACATGTAGGACATGTCATTATTCCCTTTTATTCCAGAAGTTTGGTCCTTAAGTGGTTAAGAATGATCTTTAAGGGAACACTCCCACTCTCACAACAACTCCAAGTAACTGATTTTGTTTAAAGGGTAGGAATATCTCGGTGCAGTCTTATCTTAAGAGATTAAACCATTCTAACCTCAAAGTTGGTCCTCCAATGCCAGACATCACTGCCCACCAACTTCCTTCCTATCTTCTGCCTCTACAGTATGAGGAAAGTTTTTGCTAGGTGACAGATGATAGGCTGAGAACATCAGCTGGCACTCTCAACTCTCAAATACTGGCCTCTTATTAAATATAGAATAATCACTATGGAATCCAATATAACCTCTATCAACTTGCACTTTGAACTCAAAATAGCACTTGTTGGGGGGCGTGGCCTGACCGAGGAGCGATCTGGACGTGTCTATATCGAGCTGCGCTTCAAACACGCTGCATATAGCATACAAAAGCCTAAAAACACGATCTTATGCTCACCATATTACGGCCCCTGCTGCCTGCCATCCCAGATGACCAATTGCATATAGAGCGAGCGCACAGGGCCCATAGCATGAGGAGACAGGACAAAAATTCACCAAGAGATGTGGTTATCTGGTTCCTCCACTTCCAAACGAAGGAAGCTATAATGAAGAAGAGCAGTGAAGGGACTATTAAACATGAAGGCGCAGTCTCACCCTGTACCAATACTTGACGCCCATCACACTGCAGAGGCGGCGGGAGTGGAAGCCCATTACAGACGCTATACACTGGGCTGGCCTACGATATGCCAGGGGATACCCCTTAAAATTGCTCGTGTTTAAAGACTAAGGCGGATCAAGGTGAAACATAGTCATTGGAGAGTAGAGGTGGGCGTATATGACAGCATGGTGCACCGAACATGGCAATGACCATAAATATCACCTCACTAAACGTCAAAGGCCTTAACTCCCCAACCAAGCGATGACCTATGTTCAGTAGAATTGAAGAGGTTACAGGCAAACATTGCTTTTTTACAGGAGACCCATATCCCCCAAAATGCTAACCTCAGGAACACACGTATAAGACGGCTAACGAAACCAGATCGTATCGTAAACGGAACGGCGTAGCGATCCTGATAAGAAATAACTGACTGTCCATTACAAATCACGTCTACCAATCCAGATTCGGAGGGACGATACATTATACTGTCCGGCACTCTTCTTTCCCACACGATACATTTAATAAATATATATGCTCCGAATCAGCCAGACCCAATGTTTTGGGAAAACCTGGCATCTAAAAGGCAGGCACTCCCACTTGGCATGATCATAACAGGGGGGACTTTAATGCGGCGCCGTGTCCCGCGGTAGACAGAAGTGCCCACAGTGGCCTACCTATGTCTCAGGGTAGAGGGGGTCAAGACAGGCACCCACACAAATTTATGACAAGCACAGGCCTTGTGGACGCGTGGAGGGTGCATCATCCAAACAATGTCGCATACACTTTCTACTCAGCCCCGCATAAGACTTACTTAAGGATCGATCTGTTCCTGGTAAACGCTGGTATTCTAGCCCAAGTAGCGGGCTCAATGGTGGGATGCATCACATTGTCGGGTCATGAGGAGATCTCCTTATCTTTAGGGGATCTCTGCACTGCATCCCCATGGACATGGAAACTCAATACCTCTCTCCTTCGTGACCCTACGATCATAGAGTCTGGAAAGATTTCATAAAATACTTTAATAACAACGACACTCCAGACGTAGGGGCAGGTACCATCTGGGCAGCACACAAAACAGTAATAAGGGGATCACTTATACGACTAGCCACTATGAGAAAAAAGAGAGAGACCCAGACACTAGAGAGACTATCGACAGACGGTTAACATCGACGCAGAGAAGGCCTTTGATAGCACTGTTATCACACCTAGGATTCTTGAAGACTTATATTACATCAATACAAGCCATTTATAGAGATGACAGAGTGCTTTTCCAAATCTCAGGAGCTACCCTACACCCCTTTTATTTACACAACGGCACTGTTCGCTTTGTCACTGGAACCTCTATTGCAGACATTACTAAAACACCCAAATGTATAGGGGGTGAGGGTTGGGAAAAGGGAATTCCTAGTGTCAGCGCACGCGGATGATGTGCTCTTAACGCTCACGAACCCACAGGAGTCAATGGCAGCTCTGAGAGAGGTATTGCAGGAATATGGATCACTTTAAGGATACAAGGTGAACATGGCTAAATCTAGCCCCTTGCCGGTGGGGCTGTCCGCGGCGGATACGGCGCTGATAAGGGACTCCTATAACATACAAATTGTACTCCGCTCCATTAAGTATTTAGGGATTTAATTAACGGAAAACTCAGATAAATTATATGATATTAACTACACACCCCTAATGCAAACTCTCATAAGGGACATGGAAAAGTGGACAGATAAACCCATATCATGGATAGGCTGGATCCACATGGTAAACATGAATATTCTGCCACGAATTCTCTTCCTGTCCCAAGCATTACCCTTACACATCTCTAAATCATGCCTAGCTCCCCTGCAACGAGTGATAGGTACTTTTTATATGGCAAAATAAACAACACATATTGTACCAACCGAAAATGCACAGAGGATTAGGTTTACCTCACCTACACTTATACCATTTGGCGGCACAGTTGACACAAATTGCTATGTGGCATTCCCCCCTGGAAGAGAGGAAGTGGGTAGAAATCGAATCACTGATGCTGACAGTGGACCTCCCTCAATTTATAATGTGGGTGCCTAAGGCAGACAGACCAATGCTGAGAAGCACATGCAGTGAGTGCAATCCTTAACTCCCTGAGGATATGGGATGCATCAATACAGAAATATAAACTGGCATCATCCCCCTCCCCACTCATGCCTTTCCTACGAAATAGGGCATTTCCTCCAGGCATGGCAACTAAGGATTTTGCACATATAGAACAGGCGGGCCTACAAAGGATATGCCACCTTTTCCAGGGCACGGAGGTAGTTACCTTCGAGGAAATTAAACAACGGAGGCATCTCACACCCTCTGACCTCTTCAGATATCTCTAGATTAGGGACTTCACCATATAAATATAGGCCTCATATAAAGGAAGCAGCTCGTAAACCTCTTGCGTTCTTTGAATGATTATGTCAGACAGCAATCGTGCCCAAGGGTCTAATTACGCTGCTGTATGCCCATTTCTGCTCGGAGACTGAGGATTGGGGTTGTGGTGAAACCGACCTCGCCACAGGGCATTGGAGAAGACTGATTGCCAGCCTCTTGCCATGTGATTATGGTCCCTGGAAGATCTGGCCCTTTAAATACAGTATTTGGGCATATTGTATTTTATTGTGCTGTTTCTGGCCCTTTAAGTATTTTGGGAAAGGACCTGCAGTTTTGGCATGGCACTTCGGATGCAGCCGAAGTAGTCGAATTGGCCGGCATTAGAAAACCTAACGTGGCGGCGGCCATTTTGATTAATTCAAATGCAGTCAGTGGTGTGTGCCGTCAAACTCATGGAACTAAAACCTGCTACAGAACGGCACGAACACCGCTGAAGTTTTACCTTCCCTGTAACTAATGCATTCGACAGTTCATTCGACAGTTCATTCGACAGTTCGAATGGTTGTTGTTCGTCTGTTTGAACTGACTTTAACATGGGAAATAGACCGGCCGCACAGCCTGATTCTCTGGAACTGTTTTGGGCATGAAAATGTGCTTGTGGTCGGTCATAAAAGGACTTCCAGCTAACTTTTTAGCCCCTGGATGGAATTGGCTGAATTTTGACTATGTTTATAATTAAAGTGTACTGAATAATAATATACTTCACCCTCAATTTGGAGTGCCGTCTCTTATTGGGGGAACCTGCTACAAGGGATTGCTATGCTAGTCATACTCTCTTGCTATATTCACTGCTAAGCTCTTGTAAAAGCTTGTTTCTGTTTTTGCTCTCTGAAGGAGTCTACGGTGGTTATGGTGTCTGCTGGAGTGCATGGAGCCCTCCAGAAGCGCAAGGAGCATTCTTTAACGGAGGTACCCAGTCGGGGTGCCAGGTGATCCGTTACGGGGTGGACTAACCGATATAGACCAGTGGGAGCAAGACTTAGGTGAAAAACTAGAGGGAATAGAGTGGCAGGAGATATGGGAGGCGTGTAATTCTACTTCCATGTGTGTGACACTCTAGGAACAATCCTTTAAGACAATGTTCCGATGGTACACTACATTGGTAAAATTATACAGAATGGGCCCAGGGTGGATAGCCGCGGCTTGCGGGGGACGGGAACGGGGAGAGGCGGCCGCTCTCCTCGCCCAGACACTGGAGGCATGGCCCCACAGAAGCTCTGCTCCGCCCCCCAGGACTGGCGGCGGTTATCCCGGTCCAACACGGAGAAGCAACCTTCACACAACTGACCTAGCGGAGAGGCCCAGCGAGCAGCGGGGCGACATGACATGAGGTAACATGGCTGCCCCCATGTGTACCCGGCTCGCAGGGACTACGGACCTCGAGACCAGGCTGGATGAGCTGATTGCCAGATTCTGGATGAGGCTGGCAGCCAGGGAGCAACAGGCAGACGCAAACATACCTACTGCAAAACAGCTGACACTCCCCCGCACAGAGCCGGTGCCACCCCGTACCCCAGGGACACGCAAGGTGAGTCGCAGACAGCAGATGAGTAGAGCATGCGGGCTAAGGCGACATCAATTACCTGCGGCATTAGCAAGCCACAGAACTCACCCGACAAACACTACACAACGTCCAAAGCACTCAAAGACGACCCTGAAGAGGCCGCACACCACCACAGATGGAAACAGGAAGCGGAGGCCACGTCAAAACCTACATGCCGAAACGGAAGCCTACCCAAGCACACTTCTGAGCACACCCCAGACTAACCGCCCGGCATACCTCATCATGCAAGGGGAATATGCCGTTACTGGGACCATACACTCTTCTTCCGAGCTGGGGGTTCACCTGGAGGTAACCCTCCTACGCCATCCATACACCCAAGAAGATAGCCATGCTCTGGCAGCTCCTTGGGCCCATGACCCTGTTTATGGGGTCAATGGACTTGTGGCAAGGGCCTTTGCTAAGGCCTCGGGCCGAAGACACACGGCACCTAGACGACAAACACCCAGGAAATGTGTGGAGAGAACCGTAGCGCGGGGAGCTGGGGGCCTGGAGGGTCCGGGCAGATACAACGATGAGGTCACTATGAGGGGCCATTGACCAACATGCCTCCCAAAACACACTAGTGGCATCGGGTGAAGTGCCCCAGCAACCCACATTTTGGCTATCAGCCTAGATACTGTGCAGGACTTGGGACGCTCCCACATTAATGTAACTATATGACTGCATAGAACCACAAAAGACTCATCGCATTTAACTTGACCCAATCATTTACTTAGTCTGGCTAGCGACAATACATAGCGGCAGTGCCATAAGCTTGTTTTCCCAGCCTGAACACTGCGGGTCACCACCCTGATTGCCTAGCTTAGCATATCCATATGTGATTTTCTTGACACGTTCGTAAAATGATGCTGTGCAACCTAAGCCAAAAGTTAACCTAACCTGTTTGCACGTGCCTATCTTGTATCGTGTGGGCTCAGTGTATGCACGAACCCCATCGTGTTTATGCGGCCTATTACCATAGTATAACATGCTTTAGACACAGCAGTACAGATTATGCGACCCGTAATAACACGAGACAGTAAGCTACTGGTCAGACTGTATATACCGCAAAGGATTTAATGCATCTTTGCCATATAATCAGTACTAGTACTATGCATAATTCAGCTGGGTTTGTTTAATTTTATGTTGTTTGGTTTTCACCTGCCAGTCCTAGCTTGTACCGCTCAGCCTGTAAGCGCGCATAGAAACAGCTACAGAGGAAAGGTCTCACTCCTTAACTAGCAATTTACTTCAGCCTGTTTAAAATAAGTTTACGTTCACCAACTAACAAAATTATAAAAAAAATGAGGCATTAACAAACTGGAAATGTAACTAATTAATAAAAAAAATGTCTATATACTAAGACATCATGAAATACCCATGCATTTCCCTCTTTTTATTCTGTACCCCTCATATGTGCCTTAATGAAAGAAAGATTGACAAAAAAAAAAAAAAAATACAGAACACACAAAGTACTATCTAATGAATGCTGGAGGGGATGTAAAATGAGGGGCACATACTTACATATGTGGTGGGACTGCCCCCCATAAAAGGATTCAGTAGCTCAGTCAGGGACCTCATATTACAAGTGCTTTAGAGAGCCCCGGATCCAGACCCATGGGTATATTTACTAAATAGGTCAGTGGAGGGTAGGACCAGACGTGAACAGAAGCTCAGAAGCAGAAAATCACTCTGTCGGTCAGCAGAGCAGTGGCATTCTCTTGGCTTAAGCAGGCTGTACCGAGTATGGTGACAGTCCAAAATAGAGAAACTCACCTTATGGATAGCCTGACAGCCAGAGTAAGGGGAACAATGAAGACTTTCCAAAAAGTATGGGAACCATGGGAAAACAGTACTTTAGTGAATTGTTAGGGCCCATTCCTACCTCCCCGCAGCATCATACTGCTAGAAACACGACTTACAACCTCCCGGGAAATCTGTTTTCTATACTTTCATTCTTTTCTCTCTATCCTACAGTTTCTCTAACACTGTCAATCTGAACCTGGATTCGAAGTTAACCCCTATTGATGGTAAACGTGACAAACGAAAATTGCAAATGATATTGTTAGATGGTGACGTTAGTCACAATTGCTACCGAGATAGTAGTATCCATGTGTTTCTTCTATTAGTTTTTTAAAGATTTCATATTATGTTTCATTACAAAACATGACATACTATGTAAACACAAAGAAATAATGTGCATAAACATTAGACTAAAGGTCCACATTTATTGTACTTATTTGTACAACTGCTGGATACCACGCCTCGTGTTGTGTCCTTCTGTGATGCACTATATGCGCTGTAATTATCCATGCACAATGTTTTGAATGTCATGCAAAAATAAAGCATTATATTTTTTAAAAATAGCACTTGTTTTTCTTGCTAAATCTTAACTTTTGTGAATTGTTGGAATTTGTAGCAAAATGGAATAATTAAATTGTGAACAAAAGCATAGTACTGAGGCTCAACTACTCAGTATATAAGGTCATCATCAGGTTCCTATACCTCCAATGTGTGTATGTATGTAAGGCAGGGAGGGAGAATAGACTTAATTCTAAATTTAAATCTGCTAACCCCCCACAGCCAATATCCTACACCACTAACTAGCACAAACAAACAGACTGGACCCACTACACACAATGCATCCACTACTCACACATACACTGCATGCACTACATACAAACACACTGCAGGCACTATACTTATTCTTGAGGGCGGACTCAGGGACGAGCCCCATGTGTCCAGCCCTTGAGCTGTGTAAGAAGCACCACAATTTCTAATGGCAGCCCTGCATACAAAGAGCACCATTCAACTTTTCATACATAACGCTCAAAACGTTAAATGGTTATTCCAAGCACCGTGATCACTTCAGTGATTCGAAATGATCACGGTACTTAGAGTCTATATGTGCAGCACTTCTCTATAAGAGTTTAACCTCTTGCTGTTGGAAGTGTTACTTCACATTTGGTAGCCTCATTTTCGTGTCATTTGCCAGCCTAGGACAAGGTCAATTTGGTGCATAGTTCTAGGCACAAAAAGTCATTCATTGGCAGACATAAGCCAATGAATAGTTAATGGGATTATCATCCAGCTTCTGCATGCACATCACCTGTCAGGAACAGAGCTCCAGCACCCGATGGGAGCCAGCTAAGAGGCCAAACCATTGCAATATGAATGGCATCCTACATCTATGTCAGGCTGTAGTGGTTATGATGCTTGGAGTAACCCTTTATAAAATAAAGTTAGAATAGAGGGAAATATACTGCTGTGTAGCAATGTATGTAGTTCAATGAAAAAAAAAAAATATATATCTCTCTATATAAAATCTATAAGTCTGTGTAGTAAGAAAAGATGTAGTTGACATCATAATATCTCTCCTCACTGCTGTTAATGCTACCTGTAACATTTTCCCACCTGTGGAGCATAATTGTATGGAACTAGATAATGATTCTATTGTACACACTGCTGCTGAAGAAGCAATCTATACTATGGTAAATCAAAATGCTGCCCTCCACTCTAAATTCCACAAACAGAAGTGTTACTTGTTTTTATGATTTTAATTATTTCATCTTTGTAAAACATTAAACTATGGAGTAAAATTATATCCTTTATCAGACATTTTTATTTTAAAAATAGGCAGCAAATGTTTTTTTTTTTTTTATTCTTTATTTTGGTGTGCAAAAAGTTGCAAACAAGCATGTAATAACATATTAGCATTGAGATAAACACAAAACAATAATCAGTAAGAAAACTATGCGTTTCAAATTCCTTTTTTTTATTTTCATTATCAGGGACATAACCCTAAAAGCAAAGCTGTGAGGAAACAAAAATAATTGGTAATATAATCGTAGGATTCACAGCTATCACTGTCTATGTCGATTAGTAAAAGTATATGCAAGGTCCAAAAGTGGTCTAAAATACATGAGACTGTACATACTGGGATTCAATCAGTGATCAAGCTAAATACCAGATTGAGGGTGACAGCATGTTAAGTAACATATGACAACTAAAGAGTATAACTGGAGTAGGCAACATTATAATGATTCCTCCAATAGAAGGTGTGGTGCGTTTTAGAGTGTTGTTGGCTACTCAAGAAAGAAAGTGCACCTAACCAAGGGGGGATGCATACTATGTGAAAGTGCTCCTTGTGCTCCTGAAGCAGAAGCATATTATGAGACACCAAGAGCAGTGGCGTACACATGACCCATGGGGCCCCGGTGCAAAAATTGATCCGTGGGCCCCCCCCCCCACGCTTACTCGGCACGGGTCGGGGTTGCAACACATGGTGGCGGGCACCTGGTCGCAGGGGTTGCAGGGCTGCGACCCCGCGACCGCGGTATGCACACACACTTTAAGGACCACTACAGACACCCAGATCACATCAGCTCAATGAAGTGGTCTGGGTGCCAGGTCCCTCTAGTTTTAACCCTGCAGCTGAAAACATAGCCGTTTCAGAGAAACGGCTATGTTTCACTGAGGGTTAATCCAGCCTCTGGTGGCTGTCTCATTGACAGCTGCTAGAGGAGCTTCCGCGATTCTCACTGTGAAAATCACAGTGAGAAGACACTGAACGTCCATAGGAAAGCATTGAGTAATGCTTTCCTATGGGCGGTTTAAATGCGCGCGCGCCTCTTGCCGCGCATGTGCATTTTGGAGCTGAGTGGCGGACACTGGGGAGTCCGACGCTGGAGAAAGGTAAATGCTGAAGACACACACACACACTCTCACGAACAGACGCATACACACTAGCTAACAGACACACACATTTACTGACAGAGACATACTCAGCGACAGACATACATACACACTCACTTACAAAACATACACTTTCACTGACAAACACACACTCACTAACAGACATCAAACACACTCAGTAACAGACACACACAGTAACACACTCACTAGCAGACCCACACCCAATAACAGACACATTCACTGTCACACACTAACACACGCACTAACACAAACACTGACACACTAACACACACACACATACACACACTAACACACACACACACATACAATAACACACATACACTAACACACACACACACTAACACACACACACTAACACACACACATACACTAACACACACACACACTAACACACACACACACACACATACACTAACACACTCTAACACACACACACACTAACACACACACACACTAACACACACTAACACACACACTAACACACTCTAACACACACATACACTAACACACACACACACACATTTTTTTTTTTCAAATGTAATCCCCCCAGCCTCCTTACCTTTTGGAGTGCTGGGGGGATTCCCTGGGGTCCAGTGGTGCTGCTGGGCTCCTGGTCACTGGGTGGGCGGGCTGGCCGGCCGGACGGCGCGCGAGGGAGCACTTTCCCCTTTGTGCTTCCTCTTCAGCTCCCTCGCGCGCCGCGTAGGGATGCCGGCGCCGGAAGATGATGTCATCTTCCGGCTCCGGCATCAGTGCGGTGCGTGAGGGAGCTGAAGAGGAAGCACTGAGTGCTCCCTCGCGCACCTGCCTGCCCGACCGGCCACCTGCCCGGTGACAGCAGAGCCAGCCTCGGGGGGGCCTGAGGTGGCCACCTCCTGGGCCCCCCCAGGAGAAGAGGCTGGCCCTGTGGCTACATACCGGGTCGCAGGGGCGGCCGGGCCCCCTGGTGGGCCGGGCCCAGTCGCAACCGTGACCCCTGCGACCCTGGTATGTACGCCACTGACCAAGAGCATATTAAACAAACATTCTGTCAAAACAACATAAAGCTTTTGGCAAAACAACCCTGAGATACAAGAATAAAAATATAAACTTAAAAACTTGGTGTGGTGTTCATCCAAACTTGAAATAGTATCCCCGTTGACAAAGTTAGTCAAGTGACCATTAGGAGTTCTGGATCGGTTCAAAGCACAAATGGATCGGATCGGTTTCTGGGTCCCGTATTTAGTTGACAGGTGGCGCAGACGTGACAGGTGCCAAGTCCATTAGGCCAAGAGCTGTGAGCAATGTAGGTTCCTAAGGTAAGTTTATACAGTATCTCACAAAAGCAAATACACCCCTCACATTTTTATAAATATTTTATTATATCTTTTCATGTGACAAAACTGAAGAAATGACACTCTGCTACAATATAAAGTAGTAAGTGTACAGCCACTATAGCAGTGTAAATTTGCTCTCCTCTCAAAATAACTCAACACACAGTCATTAATGTTTGAATTATTACTTTAAATACTATTTGACTCACACTTTTCCAGAAATTGCCACTATATTAAATATTTTAGATGGGCATTGCTAGGGGTAAACAGCACCTGAGGCTTGAGCCCCAAAATAATTTGGTGACCCCTTCCTAAAGCCCCAGCTCTGGCCTGCAGTATGTGAATTTAAACCATAACTTCCAAATGAACTAGAAATTCCCCCAAATGCTCTTATTGGGAAACCATTTTAAAACAGCTTGCTTGACTTCTTACAATGGGAGTGTTATATATAAAGTTTATATTTAGAAATCCCCCTCCCCCGCACCCATATTTCAAATAATAGTAGTTTTCGATGTACTCTAATTAGGTGATCACCATGGTAATGGTGATTACATGATACTAACAAAATATACATCTTACAGGCACTTCTGCAGAAATAGCTAAATAAACCATGGTCTAATCTGACTGGCGCAGCGAGATCAACAGGATTGATTATATCCGCCAAAGAGGTGGGTCAGCTACAGACAAAGCAGCACAACTTAGGATAACAATTTAATGTATTACGTTTTAACCCTTGTGTTGTGAGAGGGTCACCTAAAAGGTCTATGGTCTCTCGAACAATGTGGTCAGGAGGTCTCTGACCCTTTCCTGCTGGGCCTTCTTGCTGGGCAGGTCAGTGGAAGGTATGACCACCAGACAGCAGAAACTAATGATTAAAGTTACACTGGCAGCCAGACGGGCTATAGCTCAGATATGGCGGGGGACCACAGTGCCAGCAATGGCAGAGGTGACAAACCGAATTAAGGAAAATCTACTTATGAACAAACTGACGGCAATGATACATAATATTATATTAACCCCGACCCAAAGGTCCTAATACAAGCTATGGAAGCAGCTGGAAGGAAATAAGTGGCATGCTTGAAGCATTAAATTTTTTTTTTTTTTTTTTTTTCTGTTTCAGTCCACTAGAGCTTCAGTTTTCCTATTCTTAAAATCAACATGCCCACATAGGGATCCTCCAGAGGATATACCGCAGGCAGGAGACACCCCACAACACACACAACTGCACAAACGCTGGTCGCAAAGTCATGTACAGTGCACTTAATTGTGTATCTTGATGGAACCGGTCATTTTACACCCGTCTCA